CTTATGTTGACTAATAAGTTAGAAATTTGGAAAGTTAGCCGGGCAGTGTTGGCGCACGCCTTTAATCCCAGCACTCGGGAGGCAGAGGCAGGCGGATCTCTGTGAGTTCGAGGCCAGCCTGGTCTACAGAGTGAGATCCAGGACAGGCACCAAAACTACACAGAAACCCTGTCTCAAAAAACTAAAAAAAGAAGGAAAAAAAAAAGAAAAAGAAATTTGGAAAGTTATACAGTTGGCCCTTGACTAACATTGAACTTGAGGCTGGTGGGATAAGATGACTTAGCAGTAAACACTTGCTGTGGCAGCCTGACAACCTCAATTCAACCCACTGAATGGAGCAAGAAGAGAGCCAACTCTTTATAAACTTTATGAAGTTGTCTGATTTTCACATGTAGACTGTGGCATTTTTTTTGCATCTACACACATATATTGTATACCCACACTAAAAAAATAAATTGAGGCTGGAGAGATGGCTCAGCAATTAAAAGTACTTAACTGCTTGCTCTTCCAGAGGACATGGGTTCAGTTTCCAGCACCCACATAGTACCTCACAACTACCTGTAACTCTAGTTTTGGAAGACCCGACACCTTCCGGCCTCAGTGGGTACGAGGCATGTATGAGACCACATATGAAGGCAGATCATCCATACACATAACAAAAATTTAAATAAATGAACTTAGTTTTCCATTTGCCCCACCCCCTCTTAAGTGCTGGGAAACAAACCCCATACCTTATGCATGCTAAGCAATTACATGCTCAGTTCTTATTTTTATTTTACTCTAAGGATTAAACTTGGAACCTAATGCTTGCTAAGCAAGTACTCTACTACAGAGCTATATGTATCATTAACCTTCTTTTCTCTTTTTCTTCTCCTTTTCTGGGCTTACTAAGTAGCCCAGGCTGGTGTTGAACTCACATTATCCTGGTTAGGCTCTGAACTTGAGATCCTTTTGCTTCAGCCTTCTCAGTAGCTAAGAGTGCAGGGCTGCCACCTGTAACTAACCTGAGTTAGTTACATGGATGGTTTAAAAACTTTGTAGCAGTTTGAAAAGATGTGTAGACCATGTAGTTTAGAAATAATTGAAAAAAAAAAAAGGAAAAAGTTACTTGCATGTAAATGCTTAGATAATTCTTTATCACTATAAAATATATGCAAGTTAAGATTTATGACAGTAATGCACAGGTTCATTTGCTTTTGAAAAATATAAACAAATACACATGGGTGGTGGTGGCACATGCTTTTAAAGCCCAGCACTAGGGAGGCAGAAGCAGGTAGATCTCTGAGTTCGAGGCTAGTCTGGTCTACAGGCGAGTTCTTAAACACACACACACACACACACACACACACACACACAAACAAGTACACACAAATACAAAGGCACAGCATTAAATAGTGACTTCATTAACTCTTGTACATACTATGATTTCATAGCTACTTTCTGTTGTACACTATAATACTGATATCTTCATGTGAGCAGCTTTCCTCAGTAAATTTTCTGTTGCATTTTTATGCAGCATGCAACATATAACTAAACAGTAAGCCATTTAAGTTTTGGAGCAGTCAGAAGTTGATTGTATTCGGAAGCTTGACTGCCTGGGGGTTAGTGTCTATGATGTCTGTTGTTTAGGGTTCAACTTATATGGCAAAAAATAAATTTAAAAGCCTAAGACTATATCCATATATGTATGTATGTATGTATGTATGTATTTGTGTGTGTGTGTGTGTGTGTTTCCTTCTCAATCATTGAAGAATTAAAATAGTGACATTTGGTTTGTGCATGCAATGATTTCACTTTTTTTTTTTAAGGAAAAGCACATTTTATAAATCAGTACTGCTGCTGATTTCTGTATCTAGTGAGGTCTGATTCTATCAGTGCTTAGAAAAATTAAGATTCTAGTGACTGACTTTCCTTTTTTTTACTCTCTTGGTTTTTCGAGACAGGGTTTCTCTTTAACAGTCCTGACTGTCCCAGAACTCAAAAGAGATCCACCTACTTCTCCCTCCCAAGTGCTGGGATTAAAGGCATGGGCCACCACCGCCAAGCCTTTGTTTCTCAAAAAAGGAAGAAAGGAAGGAAGAGAAAAACCTCCCACAAAAACACAAATCAAAATAAATAAGCAAACGACTATTAAAACAAAAAAATAGCCAAACAAAGCAAAATGAGACAAAAAGTCTACATTGCAGACTGACTCTGCAGAAATACCCTTGAGTTCATTTTGTGTTGGTCAAGTATTCTCTGGGCATGCTCTGAAGGTGATTAATATACCCATTGAGACTCCTTTGGAGAAAATTGGTTTTTCCTGTGCTTGGCTGTGTCACTTGTAGATAGCTTCTTGGTTAGGGGTGGGACCCTGTGTTCACTTCCCTCCTTAATGCTGCCCTGCCCGTCTCAGACAGCGTTCTTAACCACTAAGCCATCTCTCTAGCCTGTATTGTGACATTTCTATGTTCTATTTTCAGGTTTCTTTTCTGCAGTGCTCATATAATTTTATCTTTTTACAGGTGAGGTAGGTAGGCTTTTGTATTGAGTATGGAAAAACATGTAACACTACTGTTCACTGATGCTGCTTTTTCTGACTTCTATAGTTAGTGTCTTTGGATTGAGGTACATAGGTGTTTAGTTCATAGAAATATTGAATATATAGTATCTGTTATGCAAGTGAAAACTTTTATTTAGAGATAATATACTTGTTTTATAAATAAGTATTCATTTGAAAACAGTAATGATTGAAAAAATCCAGGTGGCGCCGGGCGGTGGTGGCACACACCTTTAATCCCAGCACTGGGAGGCAGAGCCAGGTGGATCTCTGTGAGTTCGAGGCTAGCCTGGGCTACCAAGTGAGTTCCAGGAAAGGCGCAAAGCTACACAGAGAAACCCTGTCGGAAAAAATCCAAAAAAAAAAAAGAAAAAAATCCAGGTGGCATCAGGAAATAAATATCAAAATATCTTTATCTGTATTGATTTAACCTGTTTCCCTTTCATTTGATTTAACCCTTTTCCTTTTCATTTGATTAGGAGAAAAGAAATGGGCCGCTCCAATTCTAGATCGCATTCTTCAAGATCAAAGTCTAGATCACAATCTAGTTCTAGATCAAGATCAAGATCACATTCTAGAAAGAAGAGATACAGGTGAATTAATGTGTTTCTGGTGCTTTGACTAATGAAATAGTAGCTACTAATACAGTATATAGTGCTAACTCCATTAATGTATTTCATTCTCCATGGATTGGATTTGTTATCATTTAGAATTGAAATTGAGAATTGCCCAAGTTGTAACCCAGTTATCAACTATGACTCGAGATCTGAGATTCTTACTGTACTGTGCTAATACGTGATGAGCTTCTTTATATTTTTCCGTATTAAGAGATGAACTGGATATTTTAAGAATTCTTTGGCACTGAATCATAATATTTATTGTTTTCTCGTTTTCCCTTTCTGAGTCTGTTGTTTTTTTTTTTTAAAGATTTATCCATTTATTATGTATACAGTGTTCTGCCTGCATGTATGCCTGCAGGCCAGAAGAGGGAGCCATATCTCATTACAGATGCTTGTGAGCTACCATGTGGGTGCTGGGAATTGAACTCAGGACCTCTGGAAGAACAGCCAGTGCTCTTAACCTCTGAGCCATCTCTCCAGCCCCTCTGAGTCTGTTTTTTTAAAGGATGATTTCCTTTTTCTGTTGTTTAAAAATGATTCATTTTTCTTCAGATAATAATATCCATAGCACAGAAAGGAGAGCCTATTGAGAATTGATACTAGTTTGTAATTTTCCTGTTTTATATAATCAGCTTTGCTGAATATCAGTGGCATTTCACTGTATATAATTCCATTTTCCTTATTAGCAGTTGATGGTGCCATTTAAATTTCTTTTACACTATGACCTTTAGTGTCAGCCTAGTTGTGTTATATAATCTTCTGTTGTATATATTGATATTCTCTCTCATATTTCCTATGCCTTCTTTCCCAAGGCCTATTATAATTGTACTCTCATTTTTTACTTTGGACACAAGCTTTAAACATAACAGAAACAGTAAACTTTCATGAGGTTTTTAAGTATCTATAATTGTACCTTGTATGTAAATGTTTTAGTCAGCCTGATGCATCTAAAATGGTAGAATGAAGTACTTTATTTTTCTTAAATTGATACTTATTTCATTTTTAGTTCTAGGTCTCGTTCCAGGACATATTCAAGGTCTCGTAGTAGAGATCGTATTTATTCTAGAGATTATC